AAAAAAAAAAAAAAAAAAAAAAAAAATTAAAAACCTTCCTGTGACATTTCTACTATTGATTGATAACACATTTTCAATTTTAGAGTATATTAACTGCAAAAGTTTAAAGAGAAAGTTCTCTAATTCTGTAAAAAGTACTCAATTATATTCATAAGAGGAAGAAACTAAAAATCTAGAGTTATTGATTTCATATTTTACTAAAATATATGGCATAAGTTAGCAATATAAATATCTTTACTAAACAATGAAATGTTACACTAGAACACTGCTTGGTTAGAAAAACACACCAACTAAGACCTTCAATCTTCTTCACCTTTCTGTGGCAAAGCATCACTTCTTTCATACTTTCATGGAAGACAACACACAGAGAGACAGACAGACAGACAGAGAGGCAGACAGACAGTGAGATGGACAGACAGATAAACAGACAGACAGACACATAAACAAATAAACACACCCACCCACCCACACACACACGCACACACACACACAAAGATCTATATGAGAATCTCCCGTGCTCAGTATTGTGCTGGTAGCTTTTGGCTTACTTATTTCATGTGACTCACACTTGTCCAGAAAACGCTCCCTAAGTATATTGGAATATTAATCCAAAATTAATACTTGTGTGTATTTAAGATTTGCAAATGATGGTTGCAGAAGGGCATATTGTGTGCTGCTTGTTACATCACTGCTAAAGAACTCATCTATCAGGTAGTTCCCATTAAGAAAATGAAGACACAGAGGCTCCTTATTCAACTAAAATTTGTCTTCATTCATATATCGCATGCAGGGCCCTACTTATAATTCCAATTGTTTGAGACATTATGACACTAAATGATCATCACCTTCCTAACTGTTTTTCTCTTCCTCAGGAGAGGAAGACTGTTGTTCTCCAGGGACCCTTTCTTTTTTTTTTTTTTTAGCAAAACTCATTTTCTGTATTCTCTTTTGTCTTGTGTGTTTCTATCTCTGAAGAATAAGAAATCATCTTTATTTTCATCTTTTTTCATGGCAGCATCACATTGTATCCATTCTCTTTTTTACAAACTTGGTATTAGTTTAATATATTTAATGATATGCTGCCTATCTCGCTAAAGAAAGCAGTTCCCTTAGGGTGAGAGAACTTTGACCTTGTTTTCTAGTGTACTTCTTAGACTTTTTGTTTCTATTTCAAGGGATGTTTATGAGGTTCCGCTTACAGAAAAAAAATTCTATTCTTTGCTCTCCTTCACCTGAGTAGATGCCTTGCACCTGCTTTGATTAATTGGTAGAAAAAAGCATAGAAAGAAGAGAAATTATGAAGCCATGTCCAATATGTAACTACTGATATTTCAGAAGAAAATTGTGAGATATTCATGATCACATCAGAATGCTAACCTTGTGGTCTCCAGAGTCCTCAGCGAAGAGTAGTTGACTGAGGATTCAGACCACCTGTCCTCTGACTTAGCCTTTGCCAACCACTATGGACATGTGGCATAGTATGGTCCTCTTCGGTCCATAAATGATGTCATTTATGATTTGACAAGGGCTTCAGGTGATTCAGGGGCAGGCCACAGCTGGAGACCATTTCTGAAGAAGACAGACTTAACACATTCATTTTTAACCTTCTTTGTATGTGGAAGCAGGGAAAGATTCTGAAGGAATATATATGTCTCATTTTTTGTTATAGCCTCAGTGCTTGATGCAAAGAGTGAGTAGGACTTACTATGTTTTTACATGAATAGGAGTTAGAGGAGGTGTAGAAAGGTGAATGGAGGATGATTCACTGCAAAGATTTGAATGCTATTTTGTTTCAACATTAATTAGAAATAAATTTAAATCACTAATTCTCATGTGTTAGAGCCACCAAAATTCTCTTGAGTGTTTGTTAAAATAAAAATTATTGGTCTTTACTCCAGAACTTATCAAAAGAAATACAAAGCAGTAACAGAATGTTTCATATCTAACTTTTTCTTAATCGTATTCTTGCTGCTTGCATAAAAATCGTTCCTTTTTTAACCCTATATTTTCCGCTGAATTTATTAGCAGTATGGATCCCATAAACCAAACGCTTGTTTCAGAATTCCTCCTCCTGGGACTGACAGATGATCCAGAGCTGCAGCCCCTCATCTTCAGCCTGTTCTTGGCCATGTACCTGGTCACCATTCTGGGGAACCTGCTCATCACAGTGGCTGTCATCTCTGACTCCCACCTGCACACGCCCATGTACTTCTTCCTTGCCAACCTGTCCATCACTGACATCTGTACCAGCACAACCACGATCCCAAAGATGTTGGTAGACCTCCAAATACAGGACCATAGCATCACTTACATAGGCTGCCTGTCTCAGATCTGCTTTGTCTTGATTTTTGGTGGATTAGAGAGTTTTCTCCTTGCAGCGATGTCCTATGACCGCTACGTGGCCATTTGCTACCCACTAAGGTACACAGTCCTCATGAAACCTCAACTCTGTGCCGTGCTGGTTCTGGTCTCCCTGCTCATTACGACTGTGAATGCCCTGATTCACAGTCTAACAGTGTTGCGGCTGTCCTTCTGCACACACCTGGAAATCCCCCATTTCTTCTGTGAACTTGTTCAGGTCATCAAACTCTCCTGTTCTGATATCTTCCTCAATAACCTTTTGATGTATTCAGCGACTACCCTATTTGCTGGCATTCCTCTCGCTGGAATTATTTTTTCTTATACTCAAATTGTGTCCTCTGTTATGAGGATTCCATCAGGAGATGGAAGGTATAAAGCATTTTCCACCTGTGGGTCTCACCTTTCAGTGGTGTCCTTGTTCTATGGGACAGCTTTTGGACTCTATATGAGTTCTGAAGTTAGTGACTCTTCCTTTAAGAATGTGGTGGCTTCAATGATGTATGTTGTTATCCCTCAGATGTTGAACCCTTTTATCTACAGTTTGAGGAACAGAGAAATACAGGGAGCTTTGAGACATTTGCTTCATAACAAACTTGTTTTCAAACTGTGTTCCTGAATCTGGGCTAGAATTTATACTATGAATTAAAATGATAGAAATTCTGATGAACAAGAATGTCTGCTATGTCTACCACTGAATTCATCAAAAAATAACTACATTATATATTGACTAGGGATAGCATGTATTGGATTTAAGACCTGACTTTTGTTTTTGTCCACCTGTGAAATATGTGAAAATCTAATTTGTTTCTCTGTGCTCCATTTAATTGCTACATTTCCATGGAAGCAGCACTTCAGTGGTTGTTTTGTTTTAGTGAAATTTTATTCTTGTATGTTGTTAGAAGGACACTTTGAGTGGATTGCTAACATAGGGATAGTTATAAACAAGATCGTGGTAATACATGATGTCTATAGTCAGCCTGTTCCTTTTATTAGGACCAAAAAAACCTGCATCCCACAGGTGATCCATCATGAAGTGAAGGGAATAACTTTTCATTTGCACTTAAATAGTTCCTGAAATTTTGCCCCCAAACTGCATTCTTTGAGGTTGTGTTAGTACCCACCATATTTTATTGGTTTTCCAATTTATATCTTATCTGACTGAGATAGTCCTGGAATATTTTGTGAAAAGATACCTTGACTCTAATATGCTCAGAAAATAAAGCAAATTAACATTGATTGGAAGTATATCACAAGTATTGAATGTAGAGTTTTGAGAATTAGTGCTTTACTGTCCATAATGATACACACCTGTAACCCCAGCACTCAGTGGCTGAGACAAGAGGATCACTGCAATTTGCAGACCAGTCAGGTCTACAAGGTGAGCCCAAAGACAGCCTGAACTGCACAGCAAGGCCATTTGTCAAAAAGATAATAAATAAATGAATAGATTAAAAATACGATAAGAGAATGAGTGCTTTATTCCACCCTACATTAGGAAGCTTTTCTAGGATGCTTTTTCCTCAGAGTTGGCAGTTGATTGCAGTAGGTGCAGGTGTCATACGTGAACACAGTTCCAGGTAGAGCAAACTGTGAGTGCCTTATGGTAGGTATTTCTTGCAATCATCTCTGGCATGCATTGCTTTGTTGCTATTATTGATATATATATATATATATATATATATATATATATATGTATTCTAACTTTCATCACTTTGACTAAGAATTTTCATGATTAATGGGTGAGTGGTTTTCACGTCTGTCAGGGGGCTTTTTAGAAAAGTAGTTCATCCTAGGTTATCTGGGTGAGCCAAAAATTATAGTTTCATATGTTCCTAAAAAGTGTAGAGAGAATTTGGATAAATTCAACCAGTGTTTATGCATCAGTATTTTACTTATTTTAACAAAAGTAAATTTCATGAAAGTCCAATGTATTAGCTGCATGTACATAAATGCCTACAATCCCAACTACTTAAGAGGCTGATGCAGGAGGATTACAAGTTTTAGTCTTCCTGAGAAATTTAGCAAGATTATCACAAAAATAAAATAAATCTACGGCTGTGCTATCACCCATTTATGTGCTCTTTTGCAATTTATTGTGTCAGTTTGTCTGAAGTATAAATGTAATGAATAAATTCTGTATCTTAGGTACTATTATTGTTATTATTATTATTATTATTATTGATATTATTTCATGATACTGGAGATTGAATCTATGGTCCTGCTCATACTAGGTAATTTCTCAATCACTGAGCTACAACTCAAGGTTTGGATTGTTATTTTCATCATTGTACATTTAAGATTTCATCTTATTTTTGGTTTAGCTCTTAATCATTTACTGCTATGCACTCTTAGTTTTCATAATGTACATGCTTCAGTTTCATGTGCAGAAAGCACATGCCTATAAGGTTTTGGCCAAAGACAAGATTAGCCTTAAAAAGAAGCCAAGTTCTTCAAATCAAGAAAATAGAAAGGATACTTTGGGGGCATTATAGGAATTAGCAAGATCCCACCATTCCCAGGCTCAGGGTACAAAAGTGAAAACCTTCCTTCTAAAAGATTGCCTTGGGAACCTTGCTTGAAAATGTTTGACTCAGAAATTGGCTTGTCAGGATTGTTTCAAAGTGCTCAGTCCTAAAGGCACTTCCTCATGGGCCACTGCAGCCATGATTCCAGGGGACCTGGCTACTGCTCAAGCTGGTGGCAGACATTGGCATCGTCCATGCACTGCTGGCTTTACAAATATGTAGAATTCAAGAGTTACAGGGCTGTGGAAAAAAGCATCCATGTAGATTTGAGAAAAGCCTGGGGAATCCAGAGATGTGCCTCAGAGAAGGCATTCCAAGAAGCTGTGAGAAGAGAGCTGCAAGAGCATGAGACTCTTGCGTCACTTTACTCTTGGTAACAATTTCTCATATTGTGCAAACATTCTTCTTTTTTCATTTTAGCAGTGTCTCAAGACACCCCCACTGAAACTTCTGCTGCAAAAGTGATATTTTACTGCACATAGCATCTTATGCTGTTCTAGTCTTTTTCCTCCTATGGTGGATGCTAATGGTCTCATGGGATGGGTGTGTGCTCCTCAGGTCTCTGTGTTGGTATGTAGATGGCTGGATCCTTTCAGTGTCTTCCTTTGTGGATGTCTGTGTCCTAATTTCCTCATCTTTGTCCTCCCCCAGGAAGTCTGTCCCATTGGATAATTGTTCATTGTAATGGGTTCATTTCAAATTAATTCCCTTTTCAAAGGAATGTTTCCCAGTGCGGTCATTTTCTGTACTACTAGTGTTTCAATTTCAGTACGTGAATTCTCAAACAGAATTCTGGCCCAAAAATCAGTTCGTTCTGTTGTCACTTGTCTGATTCTTGATCCATGACTATAGAGGAAATACCATCCTACCTTTGCAGGGGCATTGTGAGTACTCTGGAGAAGAGGTGAAAGGGCAGAGGGCCTCATCCTGAAGTTTCCCAACACTTCCCTGTTCTACTTTCTTGAACTATCAAATATTTTTAAATAGGAGCAGCAGAGATATAATCAGCAACAAGAACAACACATTGCCTTACTTTGTCTTTTTCAAGAACTAAAATATCAACCTTTTGTAACACTTGTTGTAGATAATTTTAAGTAAGTTAATTAGACATGAGACTTACAGGAGTCCCTTTTTTATGCCCCTATATTCCTCTGCTTCTCTAATATCCTTCCACCTTGACTAAGATGGTGTCCAGCATGGTGGGTCTACAAAGCACATGTGGTCTTTAGTACAAACAGTGTCCACCACATTCAACAGTTTGGAAATAAGGGAATAAATTTTCTTGTGACAGTATAGCGCAATACTCTGGTAGTATAAAATAATACTGTGGTAATTTTCTCTGGGGAGGAAAAAATCCAATTTGTTGAAGTACATTGAGTGAAGAGCTTCAAGTTATACTTTGATATTTCTTGCAATGAAATATATAAATCAAGCATGGTAAAATGTGACTTGTTTGCTTTTGGGTAGCTATCCTTGTGATAGTCCCTTGTATTTATTGTATGCAAGAATAATCCATAATAAAATTACTCATACTTCTGTAGGTTCAAAAGTACTAAACCTTATCTTATTATGTAGATTTTTATGTAAAATTTTCCTAGTATAGTTATTCATAATCTGTCTGATTCAGAGTATGAACTTATTTACCATGTAATTTATTTTCATCATTGCATATTTAAATGAATATTTCTCTTTGGAGTTCCTTTTCTTCCTTTTTTACATAACCAAGATTCTTAGAGATAGAGTCAGCGCCGAAACTCTGCCATGAAATTTGTATTTATCAAGCGATACATGAGAACATCTCTTTTTTCTTGAATCAGTGGTCCAGCCCTTTACTTCTTACTGTAGGATGAAGTGTCATGAGCTATTGCACACACAAACACATACACAGTAGCAATGAATAGAAAAGGTCCTGTCCAGTGCTGGGATCCCCAGTGCTGGGAATATAAGACTATAACCACCATACTCCATTGAAAGTACATATATTTAAAACATGCAATGTGTTTGTCGGAGGTATACATTGCGAAATGATTATCATGCCACAACTAGTGGATACTCTCATCAAATAAATTCCCACTAAGCAAATGAGGACTTCTCGGTTCTTATTGAAGGTTGCTACCTATCACAAAACATGTCCTGGAGCCAGAATTAAATGCAGTGTGTGAGTCTAGCACATCACCAATGACCCTCTTGCTGCCTTTGCTGCCTTCTACTGTCATGAATTATTGCCCCTCTGCCATGTGCCACTCTGCCTGAGATCCAGCTGATTCTGGATGAAACCTTTACAAACTGTGTGCTAAGTAAACCTTTCCCTCGCTTACTTTAGGTGTTGGGTAGTTTGTCTTAGCAATGAGAAAAACAACTGAGACAAGTATAAAATGAAATCGTGGGTTAGGAAGATAGCTCACTGGTCTAAGCACCTGCCTATGTAGCTACAGAAACCCGGCATGGTGATGCACTCCTGTAATCCCAGTGTTGGGGAGGCTAAACTGCAGGAGGATCACTACAACTCTGAGCTGCACAGTGAGAACCTGTACCAAATACATGAATTACAAAAGGACACGTGAGACCCAATTAGCAGTGAAAAATACTTATTATTCTCTATCCAGACATGTTATCAAGGAGTTTTCCACGAGACTCCCTGTGGCCATCGTTCCATCAGAGTTCTGACTCAGTCTTTTCCCTGATTTTCTTTCTCATGACTTTTGGTGTTTTAGAAAATTATGTCCTTACAATAATAGCCTCTGAACAATATGTGACCATTTATTACCATTTGAGTTACAGAGTCAAAATAAATTTAAATGGGCTAAGGATATGAATTGCCACTTCTCAGAAGAAGACAAATAAATGGAAAAACATGTAAAATATGTAAAAAATGCTAAATATCTTTCAGTGAAAATCAAAACCAAAGAATAAAGATCTAGGAATGGTGATATGTGTCTGTAGGCCATGTTACTTGGCCGCCTGAGGCTAGATGATCACTTAAACTCATATGTTCAAGGACCACTTAGCCAGCATACCTAGACACTGTCTGAAATAAATAAAAAATGGGCTGCTGGGGACTTAGGTCACTGAAGGTGCATTTGCCTAGCATGTGTGGAGATCATATGGTTAATTCCCAGCTCTATAAAAAGTAAAAATAAAAGATCATAATAAAATACCCACCCAGTTAGAACTGGTCTGATGAAAACCATAAAAGACAGTATGTCAAAAGCCTTCTGCCTTCCAATGTTTTTTATGGCACTATCCACAAGAACCAACAATATGCCATCAACCTAAATGTGATATATATATA